CTATTTACCGTCCGCCAAATAGGCGATTTTTCCGTTATAAGGCTGGGAATTCGATCCAGCCGTTTCACTAGCATTTTCACAACCTTTTCCTTCAAACAACAGGGAACCAAATGTGGGAATACGCGTCCATATGGGCGCTCGGGAAAAAGTTGGGACTGGAACCATTCGTACCCACTTGCATTAAGTGGAAGCTTGAAGTAATGTTTGATAATTTGCTGCTGCCGACATTCAGAGCAATCGCACATTGTCCGTTTGATTTCAACTCGTCTGTTAGCACCGTGGGAAACGGCAACAATGAAAAAGTAAGAAAGCGACTTGCTCAATGTGATCTCTGCGTTGTTTTTTCCTTTAATCGCTGTTGTCTCCCAAATATGTACCGACTGATTTGGTTTCCAGAGCATAATTCTGCCACGCTTTAACTTTCGCTTCAGTGATGCCATGCCATGGATGGAGCAAATCCTGAAGGAATTCAACTTTCGAAAGGAGCTGAAAGACAAGGCACAACAGACTTTACATGAATTGCTTCCGAAATCTTCGACGCTAAAGTACACTTTCATCGCTGTCCATGTGAGACGGACCGATTATATTAAATACGTTCAAAGGTCCCTAGCGATTTTAGACTGCAGACTGACAACTAAGTAGAACTTTTTCTAGGCGATTCAATCAGCGGCCAGTGACGGACAATTTCTTCCGAAAAGCCATGGCTTATTATCGGGAGCGCTTTTTCAATTGCGCCTTCATCTACATCAGCGACGACCCCAATTGGTGCTTCAACCAGTTCGGAAACATTACGGATGTCTACGTGGCTTCGTACCACAGATATAGCAGCATGGAAGAAGATCTGGCCCTCATGGAGGCTTGCAATCACAGCATAATCGATTACGGAACGTTTGGCGAATGGGGCAGTTTTTTGGCTGGCGGGCACACAGTCGCTTCAAATACACAAGTGATCAATGAAGCCACGCGAAAATGGGGACATTGGACCCTTATAGATGATGTTAACACGTTGTAGATGTGTGACTTTCTAGGAAAGATTTGGGGACCATTTAAGAATCAAATGCCCGTTAACGGGCTGATTTAGGGATGTTCAATTACTCTGGTGTTTATACTTATTTATTCTTTGAGAAAACGTCAAGAGCGTTTGAGCAACGTATTTTTTGAACGAAATAATTGAACTCAAAGCCTCTTCAATTTGCATGCAAATCTTGAACATTTTTTTGCTCCAAGCCCTTGGCAGATACACAAAAACCACCAGGGCGGAAAAATTAATTGCAATCAATAAATTAAATTGCAAATTTGAACGAACATTTTCCTTACCCAACTAAAGATGCTAGGAAAGCTTTCTTCGCTTCAATAGCACAGCGTCAGATGCTGAAAACTTCGAATCTTCAGCAGCAAAAACACTTTCGATAATCACTTAACACTAGTGAACCTCCAACGCTGATTAAAGCACTAAATCGGAAAATCTCCAAGCGCACAGATAAATTTGAGTTGTCTGGCACAAAAAACACTTTCACTCAACACGGGGAAACTCTACAATAACGAGAACTAATCCAAATTTCGAAAAATTCAAAATTAAACTTAACTTTTGATTAAAATGTCAAAAACCTGTAGTGACATCTATCACAGAAAACCCTTCAGTTATTAGGCGCGTAATTTTTTAAATAAATTCGCTCTCAAATTTAGTTTCAAAAATTTTTGAAAAATGTGTACGCTCCGTTAAAAAAATAAAAAACATAAATAACACTAGACTGGTTAAAAGCAGTGCATCCTTGTTCGCCACACACGAAACAGGGACCGCAGCATTTGATCAGTGAATAGCTTCACACCAGAATCGAGACAGGAAAGTACATTGTTTACTAATTTCTGTTTAGGCACTAACCTGACTTAACCTGACAGTGGCACTTATCTGGACAAGAAGTGATAAGAGTTCCTTGGTACTCAAAATTCTGTGTGTTACTTAGACTATCTTCTGTCTAGCGAAACGCAATTTGCCTGATGTTTAATCAGTGCTTGTGCAGTTGTCTTTGGCTGATGGTAACTAGCTGTGTTGTAAAATAAACCCCAAGGTATGGCGACCTTGACTACCAATGTGGAACTGGAATGGAATGAAACCACGAATTTAACATGGGCCCAAAAGGACACTGATAGTATCGCAAACAGGGACTGTGTACAGTCCATGTATGACACCCTTGTGCAGAATAAAGAAGTTCGTGCGATCCCTGCTGTCTCAGTCAGCTTCAACGATGTCCAAACCCTTCCTAGTTTCCAGTATGATCCACCAACTACATCAGAACTGAATACTTTTCTAAACACTTTACTAGCATCCCAAGTAAGTAATCATGCTTTGCTCTAGATATCATGGTCAAAGGATTTTGCCTGCGTTAACAGTCAGCTTTGCATTCGTCTTACCTTTGGAAGGGAATGTCCCCAAATAACTGCTAGATTAAATGCCCGAGTTAAGACTCTTGCAGTTTCGTAATAAAGTTTCAGGAATTTGACTAAAAAATCGTTAATTTCCTCTGGCGCTCTTAAGCAATTCCAATGCGCGTTTTTAACCTTTTGGCTCCACAAATCTCGTCAGAGTTGATTAAATCCTCAGTTATGAGTCAATTTAAGCCTGCGAAAAATTATCTTTTAAATGCATTAAATCTTCGGTGAGGAATTTTCAATTATGGAACCAACAACAAATTATAATTTTTTCTGATTTGGATCGCGCCTTCACCCGAATCAAAAAGCATCTTAAAAGTGTAATGAACCTTCGGTGATAAATTCAAATAAACATCGTTGTAATGGCGAGAAATAACACCTACAGAACGATTGTCTCCAGGCAATTTTCAGATAATTTTTTGCTGGCCTTTTCCCGTAAAACAGCTAATGAACAATCGCTTGGACTACAAACCAGTTTCTTGTTCCAGCATCAATTGGCCAAAGGAATATGTTCCTCTTCGCCTTTTTCTGTGCTTTTAAAGCAGCGAATGGTCGTATTGAAGCGGATATTCTACGCCTTAGTGAAGCGGTATCATGAGGATCGGCTCGCATCCAGCCAAAAACAGAACGCTAAAAATGCCTTAATGGCTCCATCGGGCCGAGATGTTATGTTAGGTATTATGGTTGAAAGTTGTGGTTCTCAGCTCGTAAATTTTCAATCTCGCAGGTTCACATGCTCTACTCGAAGTGAGTGTGAAAACATGCCTGAGTCTGGTGTTTTCCTTACTCCAGCAAAACTGGCAAGTGAGTGGAATTCTCGGGATTCCGCCGCTATGCAATTCAGTTCTGGAAACAGTTGGGGGACTGATTAAAAATTTGCCGCCGTTGTGTTTGTCCAACGACGCCCAATTGACGAGTTTAGGCATGACCAGTCTGGATCAGGTCGTTGTTAAGCCAACACTGGCAGTATGGGTTTACTAACTGGTTTTTCCAGGTGTGGGACTTTTTACGAAACGTTCTTCTTCATGAGACAGCGGCGGATGCTCAAGGGAAATTGTTATCCAGTGAAATTCTGTTGGGTTTGGCTTTGCAGAGAGGCTCGTTGCGGTATTTTCTCGGGTGGATTGATTTGGCCCTAGAATTGTCCTGCAGGGAAACCATCAAGAGGTTTGCTGCATTAATGCCCCGCTTTGAACCGTTTGATATACTCGGTTTTTTAGCCCTCTGTTCTCTAATGCCATTCACCAATTGCAAGAAAGAAAGCAGGAATCGATGGTCTGTTTGGAACAATCGAATGCTGAGACGATGTCTATGTACGAAATTGCCCTCACTCTTTTAGAAACTTTAACTTTAATGGCAGTTGAGTATGGTATGTGCCTAGTTGAGTGGGTGTTGTTCTGGTATTATTATTGAGTTTTGCAGGAGGCGCGTGTTCTGCGATAGAAAGCCCCACGAGTAATACCGAACTAGGAGTTTTCGAAAAATCCGATGTTTATGTATGGGGCAGCAATTCATCTCATCAGCTAGCTGAAGGCCAGAGGGAGAAATTACTTTTGCCTGTTAAGTCGAAAATTTTCAACCAAGTGCAACGGGTAAGAGTGCGCTGATCGAGTGTTTATTCTGGTTAATCTTTTTCACTTTAGATCGAAGCTGGCCAATATTGTACGTTTGCTATCCACTGGGACGGATTGGTAAGCGCTTGCGGCAAAGGAAGCTACGGGCGACTAGGCTTGGGAGAATCCTCCAATCAAACACTGCCGAAGAGAATACTTCTTGATAGCGTCGTAAAAAGCCTGTCCAGTTCAAAAGGTTCACACTTTTATATAAAAAAAAACAGCTACTGGTAACTGACCAGAAACTTCTTAGGGTCCGATGGACACACTCTGGCCTTAACTCAAGAAGGCCAAGTCTATAGCTGGGGAGATGGAGACTATGGAAAACTTGGCCATGGCAATTGCACTACGCACAAACAACCCGAACGCATTTTAGGCCCTTTTATAGGGAGATTTGTTAAGTACGTCAATGCAGGCTATCGGCACAGCGCTGCGGTTACTGATGATGGATTTTTGTGGACTTGGGGTATGCGTGGGCACACCAGAAATTTCCAAACAAGGTAGTAATTTTGAACGTTTAAAGGCGAGGGAGACCATGGTAGATTAGGGCACGGCGACTATGTTGCGCGGCATGTTCCCACCTTGGTAGCAGGCTTAACAGATGTAGGACAAGTGGCTTGTGGTAGTTCTCACACTTTAGTGGTCTCCGCTGATGGAAAGACTGTCTGGTCCTTTGGCAGTGGCGAGAATGGCAAATTGGGGCATGGAGAAATTGCCAAAGTACATCAAACCCCTCTGCGCCCTTAACGCAATGATTCATCCATTTTTGTTTAGGTTTGCAAGCCAAAAGTCATAGAGGCTCTGCAGGGCTTGATAATCCAAAAGGTCTGCGCCGCAACTTCCTTCTCAGTTGCCCTCACTACTAGTGGCCAGGTGAGTGAAGCAACAAGTGACAATGAAAATCATCAGACCAAGGGTGTTTTTCCCGAGTTTTTGCAAAAAGCCATAATTATTCTAACTATTAATTGCAGGTTTACACGTGGGGCAGTGGCCCCGTTTTGGGGGTGGGAACAGCAGATTCCATATGGCTTCAACCTATACTAGTGGAAGATCTGGTGCCTTACAGAATAATTGATATTTCTGTGGGCGATAACCATTGTTTGGCCTTAACCGAAGACCACCAGGTAAGCCATACTCCTTCACCCTCAAAGTTTCCGATCCTCGTCGTTATCTCAAATGTAAGTCCGGATGTTTTAAAGGTATTTGCCTGGGGAACGAATACGATGGGACAATGCGGACAAGGACATACAGCCAGTCCAATAACTCGGCCCTTAAAAGTGTTGGGTTTGGACAGGGCGCGGGTGCGTCAAATCAGCGCTGGCACATCGCATTCCATCGCTTGGACGATGCTGCCTTCGGAAAAGCAACATATCGCCGGACACAAGACCTTTTGCCTTGACTTGCATGAAAACACTTTCAAGTATATCAAGGTAACGTCCCGTATTTTCCTCCACAGACAGACCAAATCAGTGTGGCTTGTTTTAGGTGTTTCTCCAGAAATACGCTGCGGACTTTTCGTATGAAGACAGTCAGCCACCGCAACCATTTCAGTCGCGCAAAGAGCATCAGGATTTCGTGTTGTGGACTTTGAAGTTACTTTGCACTCACTTCAATTTGTGCATCAATAGCGAGCGCAATGCTGGCGTTCTGGGCAGACATGCGAAGGATATCAGACTGGCCCTTTTCAGGTAACGTTTCCCACTAGATTGGAAATTTTCTAAAACGTCTTGTAGGCTGGTGGACATTGAATCGCCCAGCGAAATCTACAGTCTGGCCAGGGAAGTTCTAAATATCGGAGCTTCTCTGCTGTTGCCGCTTTTAAGTGAGCGCGTCGAGTTTCTTCATCTGCACCTTTCCAGCGGCAGGCAACTGTCGCAGGGCCAACAAATGCTCCTGAGCATCATTCTGGGAAGCTTAGAAGATCCCGTGCATGTGGCCTCATTGCTTGGTAAGAACCCAGAGTCCGATTAAAGTTAAACTCATTCGACAAACCCATGATGTTTCAGGCTATGCCGCTAATACAGAAAAATCAAAGCAGTTGGATAGCAAAACGACCTCGACACTCATGTATACTCTACTGCAGGCTTTGACTCAAAACACGCTGAGTACTTTGCAGTCTGTTTCGCAATTTCTCGGGTCGACCACCAATCAACCCAATCAAAAGTGGGAAAATGCAGGCAATGAGAAGGTGGCCCACATTCAAAGGTAAGCGCCGATTGCATGGGTTTTTGTGTTAAAGGATGGATTAATTAATTCCCCTGTAGACTTCTGTCGTCTTTGCAAAACCACATGCTGGCTCACATTACGCAGGCACTAGCAAATCAAAGTGATTACAAGGGACTGTCGCAGGAGGACTACGTGGTGGATCATCTTATGAAAGTGTTCGACTTTGCCACGCAAGTGTTAGAGTCTGCTGTGGAAGTTTTGGTAAGACAAAATGCGCCTAATCAGATTCCCAAGCATTAGCAATGCGATTCACTTTGTTAGAGGGAATACCCAGATTCCCTAGAACTGTTCTACAACGTTCTTCAAGAGTCGGTTGCGGGAGCGATGCTGTTCAAGCTACTAAGCGCGTTACTGTTGCTACCGCTGGGTTACATAAAAGTCTTGTACACTCCTTTAATAAACGTCTTGGATGCGTTAGATGCTTTCAATCAACTCTTGCCCAGAGAATTGCTGCTGGATAACGACAAGGATGGGTCACGTAAGTGCTCGATTAACCAAGTGCGACTTTAGGAAAACTCAATCAAATTTAGGCTCGGAAACACCAACACTCACTCAACTGGCCGAACAGTCTTGGATATGGATAGTGGACCTGCAGAAGACATGCTCCATTTTAATTGGCAGATGTTTAGGTGGAATGCTATTAGGACAGCCAGTAAGCAAAGAAGAGCTGAGCTGTCGAAAATGGCTAATCAGTGAGCTGTTTTCCGCTGGAATCGAAAACGAACAAGTGCCAATTGAGTATTTATCCGAACTGGCCTATATTAGCGGGTAAGTTTTTCAATCAAACCCAACACGTTAAAGTAGCTGTATGGATGTTCAGATGCGCAAACACTCTGGCACTAAGCCTGGAAACTTTTCCGGAAAATGTACAAATACTTTGCCGAGTGGCCTTTGGGGTTCAAAATCAATATGACGAAGCTTGCGCCACAGTGGACGAACCCGATGATCTTTTCGATAACACTGCCAAGAACTACGAAATGGACCATTTAGAAGTGAACCCCGATGAACGGGTGTTATTTGACCGGATTATGCGTACGTTTTTCTACGCGGTCATGAAAGTAACTGGGTTTCTGGAAAGTGGTAGAAGCACTGTCTTTAGCAGCAAAGTGTTTGAGGTGACCAGGTTTCAGTAGAAACTAGCGCGATTTTTTATTTATTAATTTTTTAGTATGCGGTTACTTTGCGCCAAAAGCTGTTTACTGCCATGTGCAACGACAAGAATCGAAGAGATCAGAAGAACAAAGACATCAAGGAATCAGCGGACGTGGTCCCCGATGTAAAAACCGAGTACGACCTGAGGGAAATGAACTTTGAAAAATTTTGCTACAAAGTGCTGCAAAGAAACTTGCTGTTGCTAATATTTATTAAAGGTATTGGCAGTTCAATCAGGAAGTTGCTTTATTAAACCCGGTGGATTTGCAGATTCAAAAATGCGCCTCACTCCAGCTAAACTGGACACAGAGGACGAAGAGCCGGTGAAAGCTTATGTAGAATTTTATAAATCCTCCACAGATCCAGCAATGTGCAACTTAAGCCGCATGTGTAAGCTCTGTCTGGACTTTGTCATTACAGGCGATCACGATACGAGCGGTTACGACACAGGGTGATTACTTTTAGCAAATAAATTACTTTTTTGAATTCGCAAAGTAACTTTTCAGTGACAACGGATGGTGTAACGATCCTGCCGTCGTGTACAATTCCTTAATTAATCACAAAGAGCGGGCTCATAGTCGGATGGAGGGTCTCGAGCAGCTCTTATTTTACCTGATTTCCCGAGAACCTACGCTCACTGTAGGTCGTGTTTTAACTTTCGCAAGCACATCGATAATATAAATTTGATTTTAGACACTGAATTGCATCCAGCAACAAATACTGGAAGGTTGTTTCGGGCTCTACAACATTGATAAACTAGATGCGTCCACTCCATTCCACCACTATTTAAAGGGGATTGAAAGCTCGCCATTTGAATTGCAGGATAAAATTGCAGGAGTTATCCAGTCCATCTATCAGTTCCTAACCGCGTCTTTCATGAAGCAGATGACTGAGAACTCTGAGAACAAGCAGCTGCTGCTGGTGACGATTTTCGCGTTAAGCACCAGATACCAAGCCAATGATCTGAGCCTGGTCATTAACAATGATGTAATGCAGCATTTGATGCAAATGGTTGACATGAGTAAGTCGCCTCACTGTTGATTTCCAGTTTGAGGAACAAAGCGTTTTTTAGGCATCGTGGGAATTTACGCATGTACAAAAACCGAGGTTTTGAGCGTTGCTTCGCTGAGACTAATACACATTTTGGCAATGTCTTCTTGCATTCACTCCAAGCCTCTAGAAGTGGCACCTTTGGCGATTATAGTTAATGTTTTATATGAGCAATTTCTGAAAACTATCGAGATATTCAAGGAGTGTTGCCAGAGCTTAGGGACTGGCGCGTTTCAATCGGGAAACGATCGCCAGATGGGTGATTTCCTCCTGTTTTTACGAACAATCGCCTCCAGCATCAGCATTCAGCGGCTGCTTGGCACGGAAAGCTGGATAAGCGCCCTATTGACCGTGTTGGACACCACCCAACTACATCTGAGTTACAATTCGCAGTTGAAAGTTCTAAAACCGAAACTGCTCATTTTGCAGATACTGCAAACCGTCTTACCCGGTCTAAAGCCTTCGCATATCCCCGAGGCGTTCCGGAAGGATTTAATCACGAATCTTATGGCGCAATTGGGCGAAATTATGTGGGCAAAGTTACCGCGCAATACTGAGGACGCCAACATCGAGTTTAATAGACTGTTTCAGTCGGATGATCTATTGTCTGCTTACGACTTCAGGGAAAATGAAGGCAATATCCCTGTACATGATATGGGTTTCGATGTCGATAAATGCTTCAAGTGCACCATTGAAGGTAAGCAATGTACGGGCAAAAGTTGCGAATTCAAGCGCGTTTTTTACAGGCAGTTTGACTTTGGTACATGGCGCCGGAGGCCGGGGGTATGGCTTGGGGATGCAAGCAATTCGATCGGGATGTTATCAATGGAAAATCCTTATAGTAAAGGAAAATAGAGGAAACGAAGGTGAGGCTTTGCAGGTTCATGTCTAGTGAAGCACTTGATAACTTTCCGTTTCCCAGGCACTTGCATTGGAGTGTCTAAATTTCCAGTCGGCGATTACAGTCATCGTTCCACCAGCGACATGTGGCTTTATAGGGGATATAGCGGAAGCTTGTATCATAATGGCGAGTCGGATCAATGTTTTCAGAGTTTCACTCAGGGCGACTATATAACGGTCGTCTTGGATATGGATGCGAGAACGCTAAGCTTTGGTAAGTTGAACTCGTGGCACTCATCAAACATTACTACCACACGTGTGTAATGTAGGCAAAAACGGAGAAGAGCCAAGAGTGGCCTTTGAGAACGTTGAAGCTTCCGAACTCTACCCTTGCGTGATGTTCTATAGTTCAAATCCCGGGGAAAAGGTGAAAATCACCGATATGAAAGTGCATGGCACCCAAAGAGACGTGCTGCCAGGAGAACCCAACATGGCCCCACTTCACGCGGTCCTAACCGAATCTTATATCGGTAAACTGAGCCGCTCGGGAAACCCGGGTGTTTTACAGTTGTATCTTCCCCAGGCTTGCTACGGAAACTGCACAATTCGGACACTTGGACCACTCAGGTCAACATGGACTTAACCGAGAGATTCGACAAAATCGAAGAACTGCTCCCCAATATGGAAGCTCGCAAACTAGACGAAGCAGCTTGCAATCTATTCGAAGAAACCGAGGTGGAGATCAATTTGGAGGAATTGTGCAATACAGTGTGGCCGGCGCTTTGCGTGATCGGTGGCGTTGATCGAGGGCTAAAAATGGGAGCCTTCTGCAAGCATAAAGTAACTGGCAAACGGGCCATTGCTCTGGGGGTTTTGAAAAAAGGTGCTGTGCACTCTATTCTAGTCTCCGACTTGACTGGAACGAATGAACGATTTGTTTCAGGAATCACCACAGTAAATGTTCAATGGGAGCAAGATCAGGGAATTTCGGATGTGGCCATATCGAATTTGGATTTCATTGAGTCCGAGCCATTTAGCACCAACAAATACAACGAACTGACAACAGCAATGTTGCTTCAACTAGTACGGCTGTCTGGAATCACCAACGAAATATCGTTTCCTCTTTTTGACTTCAACGAGGAAGATGTGTTGATGGCAAACGCCGACAGCAGCAGTCAAACGGGCGAACCCGACGAAATGCTGTTCTCCAACTCCGATTTGCAAATTGGGCCCCAAAGGCAGGATATTCCCCAAACTGTCGACAGTTTAACTGATAAAATTGTGTCCAACATTTTGGAAGAAGTGACGAAAATGACGAGTTTGCCAAACGCAACATGCAGCAGAGGAGCGCGAAATGGGGACGAGCTTAACAGCGCGACGGCGGACGATCCGCAGGCCGTGAGACGCCAGCAAAGGTTCACTGCAATGGAGGAAAAGTTTGTGAAATTGGCTTTTCTGCAATTTTCCTCTCTAAAGACAGTCGGTAAGTGTTCACTTCACTAGGTTTACTAGGCCGTGACAACGTGGGTGCAAACTCCCTTTCAGCTGCCTTCATAATGACGACTCAATTCACGAATATGCTCCTGAGAAGCGATCACAGATCTGCAGAAGACACATGCAGCATTAAGGATATAATGTACAGCATCGTAGACAAAAGCGTCGATCAGTGCAAGCTGAAAAACATCATAACGATAGCAGACGCCGAACGCGCCTTATCGATTATGCACATGAGTTTCACGAAAAATAAAAGCAAGTGTGATGCTGGAAATTTGGCGCTGGGCCAGGGTGAGATGGAAGTCGAAACCGAGGACTCATCGCATGCGAATGAGCCCTCTTGTAGTAGCAGCTCGCAAGCAACTAGAGGGTTAGTGTGCAAAAAGTACCATTTTCGGGGACGCTTAAGATACGGATTTTTAGGCGTAGCAGCGCTTCTCTAAAAACGCGCCGAAGAGTCTCAATTGGGCACAGCCCTAGGACTGCGTCCTTAGGATCAACCCCCACCACCGATCCTAGCAGGTGCTTGTTTTGAGTATAATAGTACGATATATATTTTCAAGCATTGTTTTAGACACATCTTTACAACGAGCGAATCGCAGGACAGTGTTTGGCGCATTGGGCGGCGCTCTTCCTCTCCCCCACCGCCCCACATAGCTCTTCCTCTGCTGGACATGGGTTTTCCGTTAAAGCACGTTTTGAAAGCTCTTTACGAAACGAGAACGTCTGGAGAAATTAACAGTCGCTCAATCAATATGTTAGCAACATGGATGTGTGAACATCCTTATAGCGAAGCATCCGATGACGAAGAACATTCGGTGAGGGAACTGTGGGTTAGAAGCGGTGACCTGGTGAACCGGCAAAAATATTTAATTGAACGGTAGGTGTGAACAAGAACAATTTTCCTGAGTGAGTCAAATAGGATAACGGTGCGTTAGCTGGTTTTTACACTGCTGAACGATCAGGATAAGGACTAGAACAACTGCACTTTTCATTAAGTCAAAATACGTCTAGAGAAAGTTTATGAAACATTCAAAGTGAAGGAAGATTATCAGATTGTGTACATTTTTTGTTGCCTTTTAACCAGAACTGCCGCCGTCACTAATTTGATGCGAGTGATTTTTTGTAGAGTTCAAGATGAGGATTTGCGGAGACCGCGAAATCGGGCAAATGCAGAAATTGGGAATTTTGCCGCCCGCGTTAGTAGGTAGGTGCACCATAGCGCAATCTATTTTTGCTATTGAGACTATTTCTGCGGTAAATTTTCAGGGATCTGCAAGATAGAGTGCGAGAAAGGCAACAGGTTAGGGAGAGGCAGCATGTGCGAGGAGAAGCGCACCCCTTGCTAAGAAATCTGGGCTCGCCGGGCAACAATATAGAAGACCTGACGTTTCCTCAAGAAAATACCGGTAAATATTACATTGCAGTTTGAGTCTGACTAGCAAGATGGTGTTTTTTTCGTTAGGAATAGACAGTTTGGGTGATCAAGACCCCAATTCCGCATATTTCGTGGATGTGTCCAATCAATGTGGGATCTGTCCGTACTGTGACCAACTGTCGGCGTTTTTGGATGCACATTTGATGTCCAACCATCCAGGATGCGGCGCGTTATGGGGAAGAGGCATTTGCGGCTACGTTTTCAACCAGGAAGTCGACATAGCCCGTGAATTGACGAGCCAGTTCAGCCAAAAATCTGTGCGCAGATTTTACGTGATTTGTCACGAGTGCAGGAAGAAGTATTTAGCCAAGAACAAATCGCAAAACTTGCTGGTTTCTCAGTGCCCAGACATTGTTTTGGACCATGATGATAACGTTGAAGCCGACATGCAAAATCTGAAATTCGCCCTGCCACAATGCGACGATATCGAGCAAATCAAGAAGTAAAAAGCCCGGGGGGGTTTTTAACGGAAATTTAGCAAAAACTGTTTCAGATTCCTGCGAATGTCGGAAGATTCGTTTCTGGTGAAAACCATTGATTTTCCGGAATCGGACTCCTTGGGCGCCAGTGCTGTGCCAAAAGCGCCGAGAGACTTCGACTCGCCCGAGGAAACAAAGGCGAAAACCATCGGTTCACAAGCTGCCCTTTTAGGGTCGCCTTTGCAGCGAATGTTGGGCTGTAGAGACCTCATTTCATCGATAAAAATTCTGCTGTCCAGGTAAGAAGACGGCACTAAGTAGGGCCTTTCCAACAAATATTTGCTTTGCTTATCCAGGCAAATCATTCTCAATGTTCTGTCGTTCCTATCGATGTCCACTAACTACGCTCAACTAATATCGAGCCTTGAGCTGATCGGCCTGAGCGATATATCAAAAGTGGTGCGTCTAATGACTTTAACCGCGATGAAGCGGGTGGAAGTCAGTCAGCTTCAAAAGTCCGCGGAGTTTCTCAACTTTCGCCTTCCGGAAGATTTCTATCAGCTTACCACTCAACTGCCGAGCGCCGCCAATTCATGCTTGAAGCATTTGAGTGTCAGCATAGCGGCGCTCGCTCAAAAGGACGTGAACGCATCGGATTTGGTAGTGAATATGTGCACGAAAGATCTGATTGTTGCAGCTTTTGGGGTGGCGATGCCAAAAACCGGTAAATTGCGAACTATAATTCAGTAACAGTCCGCTGAGTGACTCGATTTGAAGGTTTCGCCGTTACCCAACAACTGGTGAACATTTTGTCCACGCATGGTGGCTGTTCGTTGATGGATTTACATAAGGAAGAAGGCTGTTTGGAGAGGGCAAGTGCTGCGCCTTTGGCGCTGCCCAACGCCCTGTCGGCGTACGTTTTATCCAACAGGTAAGCTACAATTCCTGAAGCCTTTAGGGCGGTTTATCTTACCTGCAGTAGTGATAGGCTGAGTCCGCGCGAACGAGAATGGGCCGCTCAACAGCTATTCAAATGTATCGCGACCAAGATACAAATCATGTCTGGATCCGGCTTGGATGAGCTCAATTTCGCCGATCTTTCCAGAACTATGCCGGAACGGGATGTTGCTCTTCTTGAAGGTGCTGCAAAGTATAGTTGTTTCAGCGTTTTAACCGACTACTTTGATTTTAGGCCACGAAAATCGGGTGTGCACTTTGGCCTGGCACAGCGACAGCAATACCTTAGCATCCGCTGGTTATGATGGTACGGTTAGATTGTGGAGCATCAGTTCAGGGAAGGAACCAGTTTTGAATTCAACGCTGGTTTTCCGTACCAGCGCTGATTCATTTGGAAGTGATATACACGAAAAGCTTATAGGTATTTATGCAATGAAAATTGCTGGGTTTTGGGCTACCGCCTCTACAAAAAGCGGTTTCAAACGACTCCGAAGAGGTTTACAAACCGCTTTTTAATCTGGGGGGACCTGGACCACAAATAGCGCAATGAGTTGAAAGAAAACTAGTTTGAATCAACATTTGTAGGTCATTTATGTTGGTCGGCAACGGGCAACTACATAGCTGGCGCATTAGATAGCGTAATCAATATCTGGTTGATAAAGAAATCGAAACAGTTTGACGGCTGCGACTGGTTCATCGAGCACCAGAAGGAATTTATCACGTCCATGTGCTGGCCAAAGGCGAAGCCGGAAAATGAGAGCGATAACGAATATTTGTTACTGGGAAAAATCGATGGTGATATTAGAACATGGTTTTTTCCCACAAATTGTACTACATTTGCGTTCCCCAGGCACAGTTTCGCTTATAACCATTGAATCAAAGGGATCGTTGCTTGTTGAAACGCTGAAAAACTTCTCCCTGTCGCATGCAGTCGTTCATTTGGATTGGGCGCGAGCAAATTGCCCATTTGCCGTTGGTTATTTGGATGGCACTTTGCGGTTGGGTGGCGTGCGTTGGCAGGCCGACATCACAACGGTTCAAGCTCATGATAACACGATTTCATCCTTGGAGTGGTGTCCCAGAGGTAGTTTGTTTTAAGTTGCTATTTAAAGCCTTTGCTCGATGAATTTTTAGGTATTTTGCTGGCAACAATTGCCATGGACAGAACGTGCAAAGTTTGGAAACTGACCGGGCGACAATTGGTTATTCAAAACACCATTATTTTAAGCCACGAACCGACGAGTATTACGTGGTCGCCTTTAGTGGACGCGTCTTCCGGCTTATTGTTGGTGGTGGGCACCAGTTATGGGACCGTTAACGCATGGAGAGTAAGTAGAACCATCAACTCCAGACGTTTATGCGTTAAATAATAATACACCTTATAGATTCCCAATGGCGAAGATGGGAATTGTGATGAGCCAACTCTCCTGTTTTCCTCTCAGGGACATTCTCACAATGCTGTTACCAGCCTTGCGGTGGATCGGGATGGCTTGCTACTGGCCAGCGGCTGTTTAAAAAGTATAGTTGCACATTTTCCAGTTAACACTGCTTTCTATACCATGCTCCTTTGCAGGCCCAAGCGGGGTTGTAAACATTTGGTCCCTATTCAATGGAACCCTACTCTATACGACCACTGGAACAGGCGGGGTGAACAGAAATGGGCTGAAGTGGCTGAGCAGCACTTCTAGCCTAGCCATAGCGTTTTCGCGCTCTAAAACCATCCAAATGCTTCGCTACGGCCGGGAAGAGTTAACGGACAACTTGCCATTGGCCGTTGTACGGTGTGCTTTAATGAAAAAGGGGGTTCGAGGTAATAAGCATTAACTCAAATCAAATCACAGTTTGAAGCAACTTTGAATTTCGATCTTTAGGTATTAAGAACTCGCCATTTTTCAAGTACCTTGTCTCCGTGTTGCCTTCGATCCTTCTTACTCAGCAAGGCGCTGAAAAGCTTCAGGTCTCCACCGGCTTCCACTTAACGCACAGCGTTTACTTGAAAAGTCTGGCCTCGTTAGCAATAATTCTGGACTTGGACAAAGTGATTTGTTATGAATTGGTAGCCTTTAATGATGCGAGGAGATCAAACATTGTTCCGAACTTTCAATGGTTGCACACATTTAGTCAAGCAGCTGAAATAGCTGATCGTTTGATAAAACGGTACGAGTCTTCAGTAGAAGTGTGATCACAACAGTGCTTTCTGAATCTGGACTGTTTCAGGCGACATTTATCCGACCAAGAAATTTCCTCAGGCCAATTGTTAGACGGGGATGAAGCGGCGTGTTCCACGGAAGTTCAGCAAGTACACTGGACAATTAAGCAAGACGAGCAAATCATGCAGTGGGTGGCTCAAAGACCCAAAGATTGGGAAATCGGCGGGAAATGTGTGGTAAGGCAAATGGCTAAGCCAGCGGCAATTTGCCATCAATTGCCCCCTTTTGTAGGCCTACCTATGGGGCTCGGATAGACACGGACAATTAGCCGAGCTGGAGTTCAGTTCACTAATACCCATACCTGTTGAGTCGTTTTCGGTGGCAAGGAAAATAATCTGCGGGCAAAACTGCACGTTTGTGATACTGGCACATGGCACCGTGATGGCCTGCGGCGAAGGAAGTTACGGCCGATTAGGTAAGACAGAGCACGGTGTTTGGTTGATTCTAGGCAAAAAACGCATCGTTTTGCTGCTTTAGGACAGGGGAACTCGGAGGATCTGCATTCACTAAGTGTTATTTCAAGTCTGCAAGGCTTTGTAATCACCGATTTGGCCACATCGGTCGGTTCAGACGGCCACAGTCTGGCACTAGCTGAAAGTGGCGAGGTCTTTTCTTGGGGGGACGGTGATTACGGCAAATTGGGACATGGAAATAGTGATCGTCAGCGCAGACCCAGGCAAATAGAAGCTCTACAAAACCTTGAAGTTGTTCAGGTTGGTTTCAGATCGTTTTTTCATCGAGTGTTCAAAAGTTGATTTCTTTAAAGGTGGCATGCGGATTCAAACATAGCGCAGTGGTAACCAGCGATGGGAAACTGTATACTTTCGGTAACGGCGACTTTGGTCGTCTAGGATTAGGGTCAACCACTCACAAGAAACTTCCTGAACGCGTCATTGCTTTAGAAGGTAATTGGGATGGAAATCAATGTTTTTAATGAAACTAATGGTTTCACTCAAGCAAAAAATTCTAACGAACGACGAGAATTTCTTCCTGACGTTTCGCAAGCACGAGTGGCTTGCATCTTCAGAAGTGGTTTGCTTGAACGCTTACACTGTTCTCATCAGA